GCACAGTTTCAACTATCTATCTGCTTTTCCACCCAGATTTCTAAGAGTCTGTATGCCATAAGCTCCTTCTCTCTCCTCACCTACAAAGCAGGTCAGCAAATTCCAATCCCTTGCTTCCCCATAGTCTTCTCCATCTCAAGAAATGGCAATTCAGCTGGACATTGTGGCTCACAACTGTAATCCCAGCACTCAAGAGGCTGAGGCAGGAGAACTGCCTCAAGTTCAAAGCCATCCTTGGATATACGGTGAATTCTAGGCCAGCCTGGGCTACAGAGTAAGACCTTGTCTCAAAACAGTCCAACCAAGCAGCCAACTAACCAACCCATCAATCAAATGTTAATTACACTCCTCCCAAGTTGCACAGGTAAAACATTTTTGCCTTCATCAACTTCTCTCTTGATCTCACATTTCACATGTAACTATTCAACAAAGCATGACTCTGCCTTCCAAAGAGGCACACAGCCAGACCCTTCTGAACCAGTCTCACTGCTACGACTCTTGTGAAAGCTACTCTCATCTCTTGCTTGGACCATTGTCATGGCGGCTCAGCAGCTTTCCCTGCTGCTGACCTGCCATCTATTCTTCATGCAGTAGCCCGAGTGGTACTGTCAGTGTGTAAGTTATATAGCATCAATTTCTGCTCATGAGCTCCGGTAGCATCCTTTTGCCTTCAGAGCACATGGCAGAGACTGACAGACTCCTAACAAGTCCTAGGGGACTTACCACCCCTCTGACCTTGTCAAACTCATGGCTCCTTCCAGCTTATGCTGTCTTTATCACCCTGGCCCCCTTGACATTCTTCCCGTACTCAAAACTCACCCTTGTTGTTCTTTGTCTGGAGTGCCCTCCCCTCCTTTGTGGACATGCCTCCTCTCCTCTCCTTCAGGGATTCATTTACTCTGTCAACTCTTCACACTTGATTAAAGTGATCTTACATCACATTTATTTCTTTTCCCTACTTTATTTTTCTGCATTATACATCTTCAACTAAGATACCATAAAGTTGATTCATTTATTTTAATTAATAGAATATAAACACCACAAAGCCAGTATTTTTATCTTTTTTGCTTGGTATTTTTCTCAGCATTGCCTGGCGTCTTGTAGATATTCAATATATGAATGACTGTGCTATGAACTAGGAGTCCTGGTGTTCCCCTTCCTCAGCCCCAGCAATACACAGGAGTTCCCTGAGATAAAAGGCTTAGTGGAGGTGTCTCCTGAACAATCTCATCTTCCATATACCCCAGGGGTAAGCTCAGGGCAACTATCACCTGATGCATAATATACACATCCCGAGTAGAGCTTACACTCTGACATTCAAACATTTAGGTATTCCTCTAAAGGTGAGGTAGGTTGCTAGAAACAGGCAATATGTCTTTGGAGAAATGACCCAGACTGGCTAGGAAGGGGCTCATGGGGAATAGTTGAAGGAACTAGGATGGCTTGTCCTTGAAAGAATTCTGACCAGAAGTGATGAGATGCCCATAACTTTGAGCCAGTATGAGCCTCAGCAGAGAAGGTATTCCAGGCTCTGAAATAAACTCATCTGTTCACATACATCCACCTACCCTCCCAGCAACCCACCTACCCACCACCCACTTATCTACTCACTCATCCATCCATTTACCCACTCACTAACCTACCCAACTATTTATCCCTCTACCCTCTCACTCACCCATCCATCCATCCATCCATCCATCCATCCATCCATCCATCCATCCATCCATTCATCCATCCATCACTCCATCTACCTCTCTCCACCATCTAGCTACTTACCTGCTCAACCATTCATCCATTTACCCGCCTATTTATCTTTCCTTCCTTCCATCCATCTCTACACCATTCCTCCAGTATACATAGGTTTAGTACACACACCATGCTCTGGGCCTTGTGATAAGTTCTGGGGCTACAAAGATGAGCTAGACCTGGCTCTTCTTGAAGATTCATGGTCCAGCTAGTGAAGCACACACTCCCAACATATCTTTTAGAGATGTGGGCACAGCATGAGGCCTCCTAGATCTATTTTGGAGGAGGGATAATGAAAAAATTTCCTGGCAATGAGGAGAGATCCTGAGTGAGACAAAGAATGTGAAATGCAGAGCCTTGTGAAATGGAGGAGTGCATGTGTGGCAGAGACTTTAGGCAGAGAGCAGAGCCTAGCAGAGGCACAATAGAGAGGACAGATTGTGAGGCCTCGCTGAGGGGCAGCATGCTGGACTCAGAGCTGTATATCCCAAGCTGGAGGTGTTCTAGGTCTCAAGAACTTGGTGAAACAGGTGAGTGGGGAGGTGAGAGAGGCCCTGTGAGTAACAAAGGGCACCTGAATGGTGTTTTCTTTTTGAGACAGGATCTCACTGTAGCCCCAGCTGGCCTGAAACTATATAGACGAAGCTGGCCTTTATCTCTCAGGGATCCACCTGCCTCTGCCTCTCAAATACTGGGGTTAAAGATGTACACCACTATACCTGACTTTCAACAGTTTTTTTAAATTAAAAAAATTTTTAAATTTATGTGTATGAATGTATTGCCTGAATGTGTACCTGTGTTGTACAGTGCCTGTGGAAGACAGAAGAGGGTGTCAGATCACTTGGAACTGGAGTTACAGATGGTTGTTAGCTGCCGTGTTTCTGGGATACGAATCTGGGTCTTCTGCAAGAACAGCCAGTGCTCTTAACCTCTGAGTCATCTTTCCAGCCCCTCAATAGTTTTTTAAAGGGAGCTCTTGCAGTAATAGTTTCACCAGATCCTTACAAGCCCTCTAAGGAGGGCAGAGCCAAGCACGGCAGGGTGAGGATAGCAAGAAACTTGTCTGTGTGTGGTATGTGGTGAATCAGGCTTGTCTTATACCAGGAGCAGTAAGCCAGCTGTTAGTGAACACACCAGAAACAGAATGAAAGCAGGAGACTCATTCTGTACCAGTTTGGCAAACTCCATATTCCTCAGTGAGATTACCATATAGCACTTTCCAGAAGGATGCAGCAGAGTACTGGTGTGTACTCTGAGCTAAGCATCCTCTTCCAAGTTGTGATGGGGGAGGAGGGGCTGAGAGGGGCAGTGGATTCAAGGGCAGGACAAGATAGCTAGAAAGAGAGTTGTTGGCAACCAAGAGCATACCCTTCTCTTGGGGTCCTTTAAATCCAAAGCTCATGTTAGGATTTCAGCAAGATCATTTGGAGAGGCCACATATCTACCTCAGTTAAACACTATGACCTGTCCCCTCTGGAGAAATCAGAGGGGTGAGAGGTGAACTGGGTGTTGAAGACAAAGGGTTGAGACACCTGAATGCCCAAAGTTTATCAGAGCCCAGGTGCCAGAGACTCATGGGAGTCCTAGGTCCTAATCAAGACATGTTAGAGGGACAGACCCACGTATGTGCTCAAGTCTACCAGGTTCAGAAAGTCATCAACCACAATGGTAACCCTAAGCCACCTCACTCCTTTGCTTCTGTTCTCCCCTAGACAAGTTAGAAACTCGGCAAACAGAGGGTCAAGGAGGGGTGGGGTAAGGTAGGAGGAAGAAGTGTTGCTGGCTCACATGCATTCACACACATGCTCACACACACAAACATGTTCACACATGCACACACACCACTTACACATACTCACACTCAGGCTTCTTTCAAGCCAGGGCTGATCTAGGGGCTGGGAGGAGGCTGATTTTGAGAGGAATGCTTTGACCTTTCTATGGGGCTAGGCATTCAGTTATCGACTGGAGACAGGCTTTGTGCCTTCAAGGATTTGATGGGCTTTATTATCTACAGAGTGCAGAGGAGTGGCAGGGCTGTCTGAATTTTCATCCGGGCCAGGGAAAAACAAGCTCCACAGAAAGATAGAAATAAAGCATTTTATTGGTCACGTCTTCCCTTCCCCATGCCCTGTGAGGCCTGCTTGCTGGATGCGATGGACATAGCCACAGTTCAGTGTAGGTGCTATATTATAGCCACACATTAATTCATTCAGTCCTCATAATAACCTAGGAGTTGGGCATTATTAAAATGTTCTCTGTTTTGCAGGTGGGGAAACTGAGGCCCAGATAATATACTAGAGGTCTCAGGGCTACAAAGAGACAGAGCTGGGGTAAAGACCCAGGCTACCTGCTCTCAGAGCCCACGTATTTAGTCATTGAAGTAGCTGAGAGTTCCCTGAACTTGCCCAGAGTGATAAAGCATGTCTTGGGAGAGGACACAGGTGACACTGCAGAGTGGGGAAGCTGCAGCTGGTGCCCTCTTGGAGGAGACTTCCTGGTCCAACTCCCCTCCTTAACATTTCTCACTTTGCTAGAAACTCAGGAGTTGGGGCCGAACTCTGCCAAGCCTGGCCACATGTTGCCTGACTCTGAGTGTTGGCCAGAGTGTTTATGCAAAAATGTGTATCTGTATGCATTGTGCATGCATGTTTGTATGTGTGTATGCCTTATAATTGTGTGTGCATATGTGGGTGCAGGTGTGTATGCATGTACACATGTGTCTATGTGCCTATGAGTGTATAGCTACATGCATGCACAAATGAACAGTTATGTTGACTCTCCATCAAGGTCATGTCCTTGAGCTTCTGTCTTCATTCTGTCCCCCATCCTCTCTTAGCTCTCAGTCAAAATATTGTCCCCAGAGAGCCACAGGCAACATTAGCTAAACAGCCCTCCCAACTCACACTGGTAGTGACCAGGCTGCTTCCGGTGTCACCTCCATCATCTCAAGCCTATCTGAACTGTGTTACCATGGGCTGAGCTAACAACAGGCCCCAGCCCATGTGTTCTTTGTAAAGCTGTGTGAAGAGTTATCTACTTTTCAGACTCCTAGGTCCCAAAGCACTTCCTCCTGATATATATTTTGCATTTGCCCCTGGATTTATAAGAACTGGAAAAAAGAAGCATACATTTCTTAACAAGCAGATGCTAAAATGAGTTCTATGTGGGGTGTGGTTGGTAATAATTTAATTAGCCCAGCTTTTTTGGGGGAAAAAGTTGTTAATTAGTTTTTGCTTAAAATATACCATCTTGATGGCCTCTCCTTCCCCACTTGTCTCCCCTGGGTGAAGCCCCAACTTTCCATCCACAGCAAGTCTGGGCACCGCTGTTATTATAAGGAGAGAAAATTTAAAATGGTATTGTACAGAGATGGATTATGACATGCTGAGTCTGATTCCTGTAGGTCTATGAGATGGAGAAGGTGGAGACCAAGATCCCACAGTCACAAGAAGCAAGGACTTATAAGAGTCTCACAGGCCTGCTGTCCCCTAGTCCCCACTCCTGAAGGTCTCAGGAGATGACTGATGAACAAGGTAGATACTGGAAGGTGTACTAGAGCATCTCAGACAGAGGGGAAGAGGTCTCGCCAGGTGAGCCCATCCCCCCGAGACTTGTCCAGCCACCTGCCACAGGAGAAGATGGTGGCCACCCCAGTGCTCGTGTTGGTGACCTCCACCTTCTCTACCAGCCAGCCTGAGTAGTAACCGCTGCTGTCGTGCTCCAGCCGGACCTTGCGCAGCTCGCCCAGCTCTAGCGTCTCCAGAAAGAAACGGTCGGTGCTGCCCCGCTCGAAGAGGTTGCGCATTTTCTGCTTCAGTTCCCGCTTGCCCGTGTCCCCATTTGCCCCAAAGATGGTCACAAAGACATTGGCATCGGTGCCCGCTCCTGGCTCGTAGCCTGTCGTCACAATGACCTCATACTTGACTGGCACCAGGGTCTGGAGCTTACTGGCAAAGCTCTCCGTTGTCTTGGTAACCTCAAATACCTTGAAGTACTTCCTCTTCCTCTTGAGGGGGATGAGGCTGTCGCAGTTGAAGAAGTACCTGGCAGAGGGGTTGAAGAACAGATAGGAATCAGCTCTGAAGGCACCAGCAGGGCCCTGCATCCTCTCCTATAGGCTCCAGCCGGTTATTCCACCCAAGATTCTGAGGCTAGAATTGTCTAAGATGTGAGTATGGACTAGATCTTGAACTTCACAGTGGAGTGATGCCTCATCCTCCCAAGTGCCCCTTGTCTCTTCTCTTACTCCACATACTCCACATCCAATCCAAAAGCAAAGCCTGTTTGGTCCTAACTTTAAAATGCACCCAGAACACTCCCAGTTGTCCCCATTCCCCAGTATCTCTTTGGTCTGAATCACCATCCTCTACCCCAAGACTACCAGGAGCCTTGGAAGTAGCCTCTGTGCTTCTTGTTCCCTGGATTTGGAACAAATCCATTTGCTATGGTTTCTTCTAATCCAAACTGCTAATTGTGGAGTGCTGTCCTCCAGCCCCTCTTGAACCCTCAGCAACTGTAGTTACCCACTCACAAGAGATCTGCACAAGATTGGACCTCTCAACATTCCATCATGGAGTTGGGAAGGGGCTTATGAGGCCCCACCCCTCCCTGAGCACTTATAGACAGCCATTGCTAGGAAGAAGGGCCAGCAAGGCCCTTGCCCCTCTTTGACAATTTATAGGCAGTTAATGGTTGCAAGGGGGGCGTTCAGTTATATAGCTGCTTATAAGTTGCCTGTGTTCCTCTAAGTAACCATGGACCCATGTTCCTATAAGTAATTCCAATTAAACTCATTAGTTCACCAGTCTAGTCTTGGATGGAATCATTTCTTTGTTCTACTACTGGTGACCTTTCTGGGGTGAGTAGATGTTTGTTCATCTCCCCAGGAGAAGTTCACACAACACTAATATTTTAGCAGCTTTGGAAATAAGCACTCTTGGTGCTTGCTAATGAGTTCAGGAATGCAGCAGTGGAAGAAGGTGCCCAGGGGTGAATACACTAGGGATAGTTGGAGAGCAGCTATCTTAGGAGGTGCTCAGCAGGAGCAGTGGCAAGAAGCCGTTTTCAAAAGACCCTTGCTGGGTCAGCTGCTCAGTGGCTCCAGAGGCAGAGCTCCCTCCCTGCACACTGAGAACCCACAGCAAGTGTCATAGGACTAGACTGAGACCTGGATGGCAGAATACCTCTAGGATATATAAAGGGAAACACTGAATCAAAACTGTAGTGTTCAGCAAAGGGGAACTCTGATCTGAGCCATAGTCTCTAGTGCGCCACATAGAAACAGGAACAGTACCAGCTCCTCACTCCTGAAAGGGGCTGCACATAGGTAGGACCTGCACCAGACCTCCCTCCAGGAGTACCGGCACCCCACCCCCAGAGAGCACATACAAAACAGGACCAGCACCTACACTAAGCATCTGTGGAGCCCGCATAGTCAAGATGAGCACCCATGCTCTGGGTACTCAAGAGCAAAAGCAGATCCCATATCCATGACCCACCCCCTCAGTGACAAGCACTGTACCCTCCCTCCATGAGAGCCCTTACATAGGCAGGGTCAGCACCCAAGCCCCATGACGGATTGTGCAGATTGGCTTAGAGTTTGGTGTCTTCATGCCTTACTTTTCCATGTGTTGGGATTGTTTGGAGCTGCTGACTGCATTTCTCCTCTCTCTCCTCTCCTCTCCTCTCTCTCTCTCTCTCTCTCTCTCTCTCTCTCTCTCTGTGTATGTGCATGTGTGGGCACACATGTGGAGGCAATACATTCCTCAGGTTCCATACACTTTGCTTTTTGAGACAGCGTCTCTCTCTTGGCCTGGTACTCACTGATTAGACTAGGTTGTCTGGCCAGTGAGCCCCAGAGATCTGCCTGTCTCTGCCTTCCCAGCACTGGGATTACAAATATGTGCTGCCATGTCTGGCTTTTTAAAAAATGTGGCCCTGAGGATCAAACTCAGGTCCTTGTGCTTGCATGGCAAACACTTTACTAGACTGAGCTACCTCCCTGCTCTGACTGTATTTCTTTACCACTTTCTCCTAATTCTGTGTTTAGATGGAGCTGCCTTGTCACTTCCCTTCATCTTTATTGTTCTCCTCTATTTGCCTTTTCCCTCTCTTGTTTTCTCTCGGTGGTTCTAACACTAAGTGCTGGTATTACTCTGCTTGCTTACTTTCTATCCCTACCTATAGCAACTACTGCCTTAGTACATGCCATGCTGTTTCTTTACTCCCCCAAATTTATTCACATTGAAAGGGTGTGATTGCTTTTAACTGACTATTACTGTATTTTCATAGGTCTATCCATAGATATGTATGCCAACGAAGATAGTATTCTACTGTTGGAGTAGTGCTGGAGATAAAGTACTAGACTGAGGGTTTATCTATATACCCAGTTCCATGAGGACAAGTTATACCTCAACTCTTCTGTAATCTAGCCCCACTTGAATATTGCAAATACTTAGACTGAAAGTACATGCATGATTTTTTAAAAGATTAAAAATAGACAACATACAACCTAATTACAGATGAGCAAGACCCAGTGCAGAAACATAAGAAATATGAAAAACGGAGGCAACATGACTCCTCTGAAAATGACCAATTCCATAGTAATGGACAAAAATGAGAGTGAGTTAGATGAAATTCTAGATAACAGTTCAAAAAGATGACATAAGAATGTTCCACAAAAATCAAAGAGAACATTAATAAATTCCTGAAAGGTTACAAAGAGAACATAAACAAACAGCTGAACAAAATAGAGAGGCCTATAAAGGTCATAAAGAGGAAATTCAACAAAGATAAATGCTGTAATAATGATAATTTGGAAATGAAAATCCAATAAGTAAAAAAAATCCTCACCTCAATGGAGAGCTCACTCAGAGCATGGATTAAGTGGATGAGAGATTATCAGGTCTTAAAGGCAAAGTATATAAATTAAAACATTGAGACAATGATAGATAAAATAAGAAAGTAAAAACAGAATGTCTGAGGTCTATGGGACACCATAAAAGACTAAGTATATGAAGCATGAGTATAGAAGAGAAAGTTCAAAATAAAGGCATAGAAATAATAATCAGTAAAATCATAGCAGAAAATTTCCCAAACCTAGAGAAAGAGATGGCCATCCAGATACAAGAGGCATTTAGAATGCCAAACACACAAGACTAGAAAATAAACTTCCCACATCATACTTTAGATGAAACATTAAGACAAAGAAGAAGGAAAGAACAGTGAAAGATGCAAGAAAGAAGCACAAAGTCACATATAAGGGCAACTCCATGACAATAACAGCAGATTTCTCAACAGAAACTCTCAGTTCCAGGAGGGTGTGCAATAACGTACTTCAAGCTCTGAAAGACAGTAACTACCAACCCAGGCTACTGTTTCCAGCAAAACTATCCTTCATAATTGACGGAGAAAGAAAAACTACATGATAAAACAAACTAATGAAATTCATGATCACTGAGCCAACACTACAGAGGACATTTGAAGGAATCTGCCCATTGCAGAGAGAGAAACAAATCCATGAGGTCATAGGAAAGATGAACTGCACTGGAACAGCAAATAAGAAAATGATGTGACAGGAAAGCACCAACATCACAAAAGACAAGAGTCAATACATAGCTTTCAGTGATAACTATGAATATTAATGGTTTCGATTTTCTAATCAAAAGACACACATTAGTAAATTAGATTAAAAAGCAGGCCCATCTAGTGTCAGGCATGGTGGCACATGCATTTAATTCCAGCACTCGGGAGGCAGAGGGAGGTGTATCTCTGTGAGATCAAGGCCAGCCTAGTCTATGTAGTGAATTCCAGGCCAGCTGGGGCTGCAGGGAGACCTTGTCCCCAAAAAGAAACCAAACAAACAAAAGGCCAGACCCATGTATTTGCTGCCTATAAGAAGCACATACATCACTGGCAAAGATGAGCACAGTTTCAATGTGAAAGAATGGAGAAAGATATTCCAAGTGAATGGAACTAGAAAATGAGGAGTAGAAATACTAACATCTGATAAATAGACTTTAAACCAAAACTAATTAGAAGAGATAAAGAATGTCATTTCATATTGATTAAGGGAAGAATCCATTAAGAGAATACTATAATTGTAAACATATATGTGCTGAATACTGGCCCTGCCAATTTCACAAAACAAACACTACTGGATATAAAGTCATAGACTGATCTCAACACAATAATAGAAGGTGACTTCAGGACTCCACTCTCACCAACAGGTTATGTGACTTAAAAAAAACCAAACAAAAGAAATATCACAGTTAAATGTCATAGTAGATTAAATGTACTTAACAGATACATACAGAACATTCCACCCAAACACTGAAGTATACAGCTTTTCTCAGCAGCCCATGGAACTTTCCCTAAATAGATGACATTTTAGGAGACAAAGCAAGTCTTAACAAATAAAAGAAGACTGAAGTAATTTTCGTATCCTATCTGATCACAAAGGAATAAAGTCAATGGTAAGAAAAATTATAGAACATAAACTTATGGGGATTGAACAACATACTACTGAATGATGGATTTGTCATTGATGAGATCAAGAGGGCAATTAAAAACTTTCTAGAATCAAATGAAAATGAAAAACAGCATACCAGAACCTATTAAACACAATGAAGGCAGTTCTAGGGGTGGGAAATTTATACCTATAAGTGCCTACATTTAAAAAAAAATCAGAGCGGTCTCACAATAGCTTGATGATGCTCCTTAGAGCCTTGGAAAAACAAGAACAAGCCAAACCTAAATCAGTAGATAGGAAGATAACAAAGATCAGGGTAGAAATTAATGAAACGGAAATGAAAGGAATAATGCAAAGAAGCCATGAAACAGAGAGTTGGTTCTTCAAGAAGATGAACAGGACTGACAAACTCTTAGCCAAACTAAACAAATGAACAAAATGACCAAATCAATAAAATTATAATTGAAGGGAGAGACATCATAGGAGACATCAATGAAATTCAAAAGATCATTAAGGCATACTTGGAAAACCTATATTTGAAGTGGTAAGGGTGCTTGCCACCAAGCCTGATAA